AAACTTTGATATTTTCACTGGTATTAAAATATCAATATAAAAAATCACAGGCGACCATTAGTAACCATGAGATAAAAGGTATTACATCACGTGCTGTTTTAGTAGATCCTTGTAGACATGAACATCCAAAATCCACTACCTTAATTGCACGTTTATGGATCAAGATGTTATTGGAATGCTAAAATAAAATATATTATTAATAAGATAATAAAATCAAATATAAATAATAATTAATTAACTTACAAGATTTTGATATATAATTTCATTATCATGTAACCATAAAATCGCACTCGCAATGTCGCTGGCAAATTCCATTTGGTTTTCCCATTTAAAAGATTCGTCATTGTCTCTTAAATATTTTCCTAATGTACCGCCATCCGCATATTCAAGAATAATCGCATAATTTATTTCGTCTAATAACAATAATTAAAAAGGTGTGAACAAAATACTTCAAAATAAAATTAATAAATAATAATATTACTTTACCTTTGAATTTCGTAATGCCATAAAATCTAATTATATTTGGATGAAAAATAATTTTTTTTCTCATAATTTCCATCAAATGAATCTAAAAGAGAGTATTTTTAATTGAATTACAATATATGTTAACAAAACTATACCAGTAATATCAAACCTCGTTTAAAATAATTTCTTTAATTTCTTTCGTAGAGCTTTCGCCAAATTTTTTAATTGCAAACTTTGTTTTGGTTATTTTTCAACGCACAGTATAAACTGAAGCATAAGCTCCAATACTAATTTTAGTTAATTCCTTAAAATCTTGAGATTCATGATAAGGGATATCACAGCCTTGCAGCTTTACAAAAGTTACTTTAAGGTCTTGTGTATCATAAATTTTACGGTGGTGACACTATTATAATAAGGTTTGATCAATTTGGTGACACGATATATTGCTGCATATTCCTTTTCACTTAATTAAGTTAAAAAAAATAGACACCCGAAAGACTAATTAGGAATATGCAGCAATAAAAAAAAAACCATTTTATTTTGGAAGGATCTTCCTTTCTTTGCCACAATAATTAAAAAATTTTCAAAAGGCCAAACAGTTTCTATATTTCGATTCTGTGGTCTTTATATCATTTCTAAGTTATTTTTTTGTATGCATAAAAATGCTGTGTCTATTAATTTCATCATCTTGACTAGATGGGCATATTCGCATATACTGTATGAATACAAAAAAAGAAATATTAATATCCCGAACTATTTTACTTAACGTTAAGGCATGCAGTGATGAAAAATTCGTAAAAATCCAGAAATATTCGCAGATGATAAATCAAGCCAATTGTTTATTTTATTTTTTTAAAAGCTATTCTCCTCTTCAAACTAACTAAAAAATTGTTTTTTAACGATGAGATGTTTTCATATAAATTGTAGTTGTCTAATGGTAAGTAATCATAATTTAGTATCAATTATTAAACTAAAAAAAATATATAACTGTTTGGAAGCATAATTTTCAATCAAATGGTTATTGCAAACATGCATATCCCTTCCTACATACATGTACACACTCTCTAAAAAATATCTGACCACCCGTCGATCATTGCAAATCCTAATATATTAAAATTTGAATTATGCCACAACTAATGCATATAAATAAAAAATTTTTTTTTTCTCATATAGGTGCATAGTTTGAAAATAAAAAAATCTTTTTTTAAAAAATATGTCTAAAAGGAGTCAACTTTCAGATTTTGAGTGAGGAGA